ATCTATTATTATATTTGTATATTTTATTTTTGTTACTATTGTAAGTTGATCACTTGCTTGTCAACAATAATCGACAATTTTTATCAAAAACCATTTTTATTTAAATTCTTCAACAATTGTTGGCTTTTATTTTTTTCATTCTTCATCAGTTGACATGAGACACAAAACCTTGAAAATCACCCCATACAATGCGCATTCCATGATCGTTACTCATCTCCATACAATGCGCATTCCATTATCATTATTTTCATTACTATTATATATTTATTATTATTTGAATTATTACTCGCATTATTACTGTTATTGCAATTAATATTAATATTATTATTATTATTGTTTTATTATTATTATTAATTATTATCTATTATTATTGCTTATTGTTTTTATTATTGCTGCCATTAAATTTTCATAAATTATTTCGTCACGATTTTTTTGTCAAATCATGGATTATAATTATATGGCTGGAGGATGCTTGAGGTTTCTGGAAGGATGGAGGAGAAGGATTTCTGGAAGGATTTCCCATATCTTCGGATATTTCATTTGCACCGAGCCTGTGTTTGTTCGTTTATAACCCTTGACCGCGATGTTACAAAGCTTAAGAGTCAAGCTCAATGAAAATACTTCATTGGGATTGCTTCGATGAATATCACACTATATAATCTTCGAAAATCTCTTGAAATATGCTACATATGACAGTGATGGATGCTGTATTGAATATTATAATTGTTCGCAATTGATAATTGATAGAGTAACATTGAACAGAACATTAAGAAAGCGCCCTTAGCGCTAGTCGGTGCTTTTTTGGAGTGCTAAAATGTAGGTAAGATTGCAATTACAAATTACAAAAATATTGAATGCAATTACAAATCCTCTTCATCATTTTCTTCTTATCAGTTTGACAAATAATTTTTTGCAACAATATTTTCTCAAAGGCATCTGAAAAAGTTCATTGGAATTTTGATCCATGGGAATGAATTTTTTTTGGCACATAACTTATACTTTGTGAATCCAAGCTGAACATTACGAAGCTTTTCAGTTAATGATTATAATTTTTATATAATTTTGTGGAATCTGCAAACAAACTTCGATCATGTGATCAATTAAATCATTTTTGTTTTTATTTTTTTGCAGTGATGATTCAATACCGTACGAAACAGCATTTAAGGAGGTAGATGCGATACAATGGCATCATTGAGTGAGTAGTCTCATGATGCGATTCTTCACGCAGTTGTTGAGCGCAATTGCCCTCTGTGCAGGACTTATTGGTAAGTGTTACATCCTCATGAGAAAGCCTTCCCTGTTACTTATCCTTTTGGTTATGTTCACCGCGTTGACGTCTTCTCAGATAGAGTAGACCTTTTTAAGGACCGAAGGAAAGAAAATAAATGAGAAATTTCCATGCATTGTAATTGACGGATTGAGTGAGTTTTCGTATACGTTCTGCGTGAACTTCGATTGCTCATTGCCATGCAAACAGCAAGGCCGCAGTCGTGAATGCAACTACGGTAGTCGAACTGAAATGCAAATTGATGAAAGTGATAGATGTAAAAAGAAGCATTCAAAGTACTAGATGAGTGTGCGAGCCAATGCAACTTGTTAACTGTTACTTCAATACACCGTAGTCTGCTTCGTATGTTTATGTTAATCCTCAGCTTCTGCTCCCCCATTTGATTCATAAACTCATTCAACTGAACGTTTCGAACATACTCACCTTCAGGCGCGGTTGAAGTAAGAAGCTGTAAAGATGCACCGGTCGACCTTGTGATTGTAATGGATGAATCGGGTAGTATTGGATACCAAAACTATGAGGTTGGTGTTTAATGGACGAATTGGGTAGTTCTTCAAAGTGAATCACACAATAATCCAGAAATTCTACTTGAAGATCGGAATCAAATTACCTTTATAATTAAATGATGAATGATAACTTTTTGCAACTCAAACAATTTATCGTTAGGAACTTATTCATTACATCAATACATTCAAGCTTCAGTTGAGTAAGTGTTTAGGGATCAACTGAATTTTCTGAATTCTCTGAAGTTGAAACCCAAAAACAACAAATTCTCTTCATGAATTCCTCGCTGATGAACACCGATTTCTTCATGCGTAGAGTTATGAATTCACATTAAAATGAGCACAAACGCAATTTAAAGTTGCGATCCAAAAACAATTGCCCAATAACAGCTTTCTTATTTAACAGACCGCACTGGATGCCGTAGCCGGCCTCACGGAAAGACTTCACATTGGTACTACGCAACAAGTGAGTTTTCATCTTTTCTTTACTTTTCAACTTTATTCTCTACTCTTTCACGCACGATGTTTGCGCTGAATCTTTCGAACATAATTATTCTGTTATCACTCTATGATTTGTTCTATCGCTCTCAGACTTCCAATGAAGTAATCTTATAGAATGATCACACTCAACATAAAACAGAGATACACTGGGATACTGTAGATGCACATAAATCTATATCTTTTGTATGAGTTTAGGATAGCCGTGTAGGAATGGTGTTGTTCGATCAACTGGGATATGTCAATTTTGGTTTGGACAAATATACAACGAACTCAGACGTAGCATCCGAAATTCGCAAATCAACCTACAGTGCAGGTGGAACGGACATCGCGGCTGGAATGCACACCGCTTTAACAGAAGTAACATTTTTTAAATTGCAATGCACAGGAAAAATAGAATGACTACGATATGAACACGTAAAAGCAGTATTTAAAACATAGCGCAAAATATGAATAAAGCCTAATACATGATGTTCATGATGCTAAAGGTTTTCGCGAAAGTGCCAAACCGTGATGTGAGGAAGGTGATGATTGTGATAACCGATGGGGAAGATAGCTCCGATGTTGCCGCAGAGCGTGCAATAGCCGAAAAGAATGATATCATTACATATGCAATTGGAATAGGCGAAGGTTTACCCTTTGAATTTTATTCAGGCAGATATTTTCGTAAGCGTAAATACCGTTTCAGTGCCATCTAAACATTCAAATTATAAGATATATATTTATCGACATGTGATCATTGATGTAATGGTTCAGTCGCTGAAATTCATTTCAGGGATCAACTCTGCTGAGTTGGTTAGAGCAGCTGGTGATCCAAAACGTGTCTACACCTTTGCCAACTACGACGCTTTAGCTGGTGCGATCGATCAACTATGCACCAGTATAGTTAGTGAGTGATTTTAACGTCTAATTCTCAGGATATAACTGGAGTAAAAAGACCCAAAGTAACACGATCAATTGTTTGTATTACTTCCATACATGCTCATGAAACAAGGTGCGTACATAAAAGTTATTCATTTTGCAGTAACGCCAGCACCAAGAGGATGCAAATGCAATACTACTGACACGTGGCTTGACCTTATCTTCGTAATTGATTCATCAAAGGCTGTCAATAAACAAGACTTCATGGCGGTTTGTTACATAGTCATCGCTCGGCATGTTTCTTTTCAATGCGTTCATTACACACGGAGAATGCCATTTTTGAAAACGATTCTCACATTGAATGATATTTTGGGACATTTCAGGTCAGAAACCTCGCTGCTGCATTCATTCAGTCAATTCCGGTCAGTCAAGAAATCGGAAAATTCTCTAGAGTTGGTATCATCAATATGGGTGATCAGGTATTAGTGAATGTTGCTCATTCAAGTATTCGCGTCCGATTTGTTCTATAATTGTATTCAATAAGAAATCATCATTTCTGCGGTAAGCTAAGCTTTCTGCCATACTTGAGTGGTAGCCAGTAGGAGATGCGGTGCAAGCACGCTCTGATATCGGTTAACCTGTAGGCACAAGTTGTGGGAGAGTTGACATCGTACAACACAACTGATCAGGCAGCGAATGCAATGCGAAATATGCCGTACCTGAACAGCAACCAAGCGAACCTTCGCGAGTGAGTTGTTAACAATCCATTTTAATTCTTTGGTTGTATCAAATTTATGCCTATAAAGCGTTGATGGTCGCCTTCAAGATGAAAAACTCTGAGTGTCGCATTGTTGCTAATGGAATTTCATGAAAAGGAAATCAAGATGTGTAAGGAATGTCAATGAACTTCCCGTTAATACGAAACTCAAACAAAAATATTTCAGTGCGCTGAATAAAGCAACTAATATGTTGGATAGTGATCACGATCACCGTAAGAATGTTCAGAATGTTGTCGTGCTCTTCTCAAGCGTTAATGAGCCTTGTGATTATCAAGGATATAGAAAACTGTTCGTTGACATTTTGAATTCTTCATGTGGTCAAAAATTTTTGGTCGTGTCTCCGTAGTCATACCATTTGGTTACGTCTGAAGTTCATCTATAAAAAGGATTCCTTCCTCATGAGCGTTGATTATCAATCAATTTCCTTATAATACGATAACAATAGATGTAATGGTTTTTTCAGTATAAATATGAAAAATCGCTTTATAGACGTATGAAAGTGGTTGATCACAATCCATGCCGCATTGCCGCACACCTACGTGAAAACAACAATATTATTCTAACGGTTGGTCTCAAATACGATGGTACAGAAAAGTATCCAGTGCTGAACGTTGGAAGTGATTGCTACAAACTGAATTTCGATGAACACTTTCCGGAGAACTTCACGAATGCTATTTGCAGAGGTGTCGTCATTTGATGAGTAATCGACTGCGTACCTTCATAGATACATCATTAGCGCAATGAACTGTTTTGTTCATGCAAACAACTGTAATCAACTGATTCCAAAGATGCAATGCATGAGACTTGAAAATTATTAATTGTTGCTGAATGTTATTCACTCACACAGCGTCATTCAATTGTTTCTGAGAGTGATTCAGTCTTAGTTGAAAGTTCATCTAATCCCATAGCTATTTGATATTCAATTTTTACAGCTAACTGCTATTGTCTTCCTCCATACGTGCAATTTACTGATAAATGCACCGAATACGGTGAATGTGTTTATCAACAAGGTCAACCGCTCGACTTCTTCACTGCTGAACTAACTTGCCAGAATTACAACGCAACGATGATTGATGTGCTCAGCGCCGAGAAAGATCTCTTCATCAGAAGTAACTCTTTCGGCATCGAGTTCGATTCTGCAACTAACGTTTCATATGAGCATCATTACAAATATCCTTCGTTTACTAAATAATTATGAATTTGTACAATCAGAATTCATATCAGTGCAGAAGTATGTCCAATAACATTGATTACGATTCAGACATGCAAGGGACCCGTTACAGTCCTTATTGGATAGGAGCACAATATTCCAACAACCAATACAAATGGACAACTGGAATAGAGGTGATTACAACGGATCACTTCTTTTTTGAGTGGCCCATTACTGCTAAAGCTGCGTTG